ATATAGTCCATAGATAAACCTGAAATTTATCTAAGTGTCTATAGTTAACCTCCTGATAAACTCCATAGACATAAATTGTGGTCTATATAGACAGGTGATCATTTCTCTGCATGCCAGTTGTGAGATTTGCTGGAATCGATAGTACAGTACTTCAAATTAGGTTATGCAGGAAACAAACCTATCTATTTTTTTTTTTTTTTTCAAATATGAAAAGAACTTTTTTCAAAATTTTGTAAAGGGACTTTTTCCAAAGCTTTGAGCTTATTTGTTATTTTGAATCCATTGTGATTGATTTGGTATCAGGTAGATTGTAGTGATGTCAGTTTACAGGTATCTACCCCCTTTTTTATAGCATAATTAGTTTGAAGGGATTTAATTATAAAACAAGTCCTAATATAGACAAGAAATATAATGCAATAAAAATAAAGGTCAGATTGAATTAACTACAATTACCACATATTAGTCTCTGCTGTCTCAGATATTTGTTATGTAATAAGCCACTCTTTTTTAATAAGCCCACACATATATATTATTTATTGTTAAATAAACTCATCTGATAAGCCCACCCATATCTATTTTCCTTGTCTGTCATTAGATAAGCCTATTTCTGGCAATAAGCACACCCATATCTATTTTCCATGTCTGTCATTAGATAAGCCTATTTCTGGCAATAAGCCCACCCATATCTATTTTCCTTGTCTGTCATTAGATAAGCCTATTTCTGGCAATAAGCCCACCCATATCTATTTTCCTTGTCTGTCATTAGATAAGCCTATTTCTGGCAATAAGCACACCCATATCTATTTTCCTTGTCTGTCATTAGATAAGCCTATTTCTGGCAATAAGCCCACCCATATCTATTTTCCTTGTCTGTCATTAGATAAGCCTATTTCTGGCAATAAGCCCACCCATATCTATTTTCCTTGTCTGTCATTAGATAAGCCTATTTCTGGCAATAAGCCCACCCATATCTTTTATTGTTTGATCTTAGATAAATCTGTCCACACCTATCTGTTGTTGTTTATACTGAAACAAGCATGTCTGATAATAAGCCCACCCATATCTATTTTCCTTGTCTGTCATTAGATAAGCCTATTTCTGGCAATAAGCCCACCCATATCTTTTATTGTTTGAGCTTAGATAAATCTGTCCACACCTATCTGTTGTTGTTTATACTGAAACAAGCATGTCTGATAATAAGCCCAACCATATATATTGTTTTCGTTTATTTTTAGATAACATATGTCTGATAATAAGCCCACCCATATCTGTTATTGTTTATTGTTAGGTAAGCCTCTGTCTGATAGTATGTCTAGCTGCTTAATCAAATTATAAACCAAACCAATTTCATTGTTAGGTTATAAGCCCATGTCCTGATTTTAAGTGAGAAATAATGAGTTGTTCCCCTTAGTGACTAATCACAGGATTGATATAGTAATTATAGAATTTTGACATGCTGGAAATCTTAAAACACCATTTCATTATCTAATTTCTGAATATTCCAAAGAATGCAGTAGACAGTTGCCAGCTTTTCTGTTCAATGTTCCTACATTATTGATTTGGTTAAAGGGCTTTCCTTGTTAACAGCTAGAACGGCTTTGATTTCTTAGCAAGCTTTGTGATGTCGTCAGGAAATGGGGAAATACACCACGATCAGTAAATGTATATTAATATGGATTGAGAATTAATGAGGCATTTGTGTCTCCTACAGGAAAGTTTCCGGAATTTCCACATGATCGGATAATTTTATATCTGTTTAAAACAAGGGGAGATAATGTAATGTAGACACCAATTTAATTTGTTCAAAACAAGATAATTTTATATCTGTTTAAAACAATTCTGGGAAACTAATGTGAATGTAGACACTTTTGTAATTTAATTTGTTGTGAAAACAAGTGGTAGACAATGAAATGTGTGTGTGAATTCACTTGTGATGTAATTCTGTTTTTGTGTGTGAATTCAAAACTTTTGTATGTGAATTCTGTAGGAAACTTGTGTATGTGAATTCTGTAGGAAACTTGTGTATGTGAATTCTGTAGGAAACTTGTGTGTGTGAATTCTGTAGGAAACTTTTGTGTGTGAATTCTGTAGGAAACTTGTGTATGTGAATTCTGTAGGAAACTTGTGTGTGTGAATTCTGTAGGAAACTTGTGTATGTGAATTCTGTAGGAAACTTGTGTATGTGAATTCTGTAGGAAACTTGTGTGTGTGAATTCTGTAGGAAACTTGTGTGTGTGAATTCTGTAGGAAACTTGTGTATGTGAATTCTGTAGGAAACTTGTGTATGTGAATTCTGTAGGAAACTTGTGTATGTGAATTCTGTAGGAAACTTGTGTGTGTGAATTCTGTAGGAAACTTGTGTGTGTGAATTCTGTAGGAAACTTGTGTGTGTGAATTCTGTAGGAAACTTGTGTATGTGAATTCTGTAGGAAACTTGTGTATGTGAATTCTGTAGGAAACTTTTGTATGTTAATTCTGTAGGAAACTTGTGTGTGTGAATTCTGTAGGAAACTTTTGTGTGTGAATTCTGTAGGAAACTTGTGTGTGTGAATTCTGTAGGAAACTTGTGTGTGTGAATTCTGTAGGAAACTTGTGTGTGTGTTTTTGATGTAGAAGCTTGAAACTTTGTAGGATGTTTATATATATGTTAAAGATGTGCACCTCATATTATGGATTCATTCCGGACATTTTTCTGGATTTCCCGGCTTTGGAACTTGGTCATTTTCTGAAACTCTTTTTGTTATCACAGTTCTCGGAAACTACTTCAAGAATCTTTCCGAAATTCCACATAAAAATCACCTAGGGGCCCTAGATGTCCATTGTCTATGTTTTGAACATCTCCAAATCAAAAATAGCTGCAACTTCTTTCTTCAAATGCCCTTCTTTTGCACCAATTCATAAAATACAACCAAACTTTCTCTGTTAAGAGCAATATTCTACATACTCCACAAATGAAACTGTCTTGAAATACAATAAACATAGCACTCATCCCCCAACCCGGCCAATTGTGGCTTTGCCCCATTTTTTCACATTAAGGATTATTAAAAAAAATTGGAGTGTAATCTCTTGATAACTTACAAACGTTAACTTGTGTTATATGGTTCTAAATGTAAACATACGCCTTATTAGCTTACTGTGCTAATGGAACTCTTAGAGTGATAAAGAAGACTAAATGGTTTGTGTAAAGACAAATCTGTACTGTGTTATAATTACAGAGAACATACAGTTTTATACAAAATGTTCCCCATTAAGTTCCTAACAAGACATTCACGTAGAGCTCTCTACAGGCAGAAGTGTACTGTTGTCTTCTTAAAATCAAACGTAAACAGTGATCTTAGTATCAATTTTCTGACAGGTTTGTACGTGGAGAGTTCTCGAGAATATTAATTCTAACTATTGAGCTCTGTGTAACACTTAGCAATATCGGTATCTGAATATTCTCCTTCTATGTAAAGTTATCCTATATATTATTGGCCAGAAGGCTCGTACAGTCAGTCTAGCCTGTTAAATTACAAACCAGTGGAATGTTTGGCCCAAGATGTTTTTATAGGTGATTGATATAATGCTCTTACTGTTGCTACTAATGAAGTAGAAAATAAACAATTTTGTTGAAGTCAGGAATATTTGGACGTCTAAGCTTGTCACTGTCTTCATTGTTGATATGTATCGTGAGGATGTTAATCAAATTAACGATTAACAGGTAGAAATCTTGACTATAGGTTTACACTGGGCAGAAAGACATCTGAAATTGTCACAACCTTCACCATATACATTGCCAGATTTGTTTCTGTTGTCTGGTTAACTGGATTTTGATAATTCTTTGAAAACATTGAATGGCTTTTGGGCTGCTTAGGTCTTAGTCAAAAAAAAAAAAAAAACTGCTGTTTTCTGAAATGTTGTAAATAAGCATTTCGTAACCCCATATCTTATTTTAGAAATGAAAATTTAATGCTTAAAGAAGAGCTGTCTGTGATATCTGTACATTCTAAAGAAAAATCTGAAATAATTCCCTTTTATGTCTGCATTTTGAAAAAAACTTTTGAAGGCTGTAGTTTCATGAAAAAGGGGGAAAAATATGACGGGCAAGTCTATTTTCACAGAAATGATCATTTTTGCTCAAGATCTTCATACAATAGAAAAGTGGTCAAAGAATATCTACAGAAGTGATCAGACTAAGCCAATACATTGTCATTATATACAAAAAACTGTCTTTAGGTTCAGCAAAATCTTTAAGCATATCATCAGCTTAACAACATAATCAAGTCTAATGTATGATCAATGGCTCCACATTCTTCCAAACGTTAGCGACCTACAACCTAGTATTTTGGAATACAACGATTGTTACTGTTCCTACTCTAGAGAAAATATCCAGGCTTCATCTATAATAATACACCTTTGTTGACTGATATGGTGGTTAATATATCTGTATACAAGCTGTCTCTAGTCTAATTCCTTCTCACAGCTGTCACAGGAACTCTCCAATGGAGAAATTTTGATTAAATAGAATTCAATTTTTTAGAAAATGCATAATTTGTCACAGGAACTCTCCAATGGAGAAATTTTGATTAAATAGAAATAATTTTTTTTAGAAAATGCATAATTTGTCACAGGAACTCTCCAATGGAGAAATTTGAATTGAATAGAATTCAAATTTTAAAAAATGCATAATATATATACATTTGTACATGTTTATATAGACAACCATTAGTTTACAGTATAGATTTTTTTATTGAGATTTTTTATAAAAAACGTAATCACTGCTGGTTGCTGAAGTTGTTCAGCAGTACATAAACATCTATATTTCGATATAAGTAATTAATTCTCATCTCTTTGCAGTTTTTCTTTCATTCATCCACCAAGTTGGTATTATAAAAAGAGAGCACAATGCTAGCTGGAATAGGTCCATAGATCTTTTGTATAAAGCCTATCACCCACACTTGCATCCAAATCCTGTACAAATTTTCACACATTATTTCCAGCCGTGATAGACTTGTGGTACTATGAAGACTCGGGAGGTGTCATCGGCTCCTGTGCCGGAGGTGGGCAGGGGGTTCAGTTCTGGTTCATCAAGTCCTGCAAGTGCATCCTTCGCTGTGGATGAGATAAGTCGGGTGTCGGAGGCAAAGAGCAGGGGCATCGTAAAAGGTGAGTGGACAATCTCAAGGAAAAAAACGGAGTCAGTCTATATATTCTATTCCCTATTTATTTACTACTATTTAGCCGTGTTAAGTTAATCCTTACAAGGTCATTCCCCTGTTGATTTGTGTTAAGTTAATCAACACAAGGTCATTCCCCTGTTGATTTGTGTTAAGTAAATCAACACAAGGTCATTCCCCTGTTGATTTGTGTTAAGTTAATCAACACAAGGTCATTCCCCTGTTGATTTGTGTTAAGTTAATCCACACAAGGTCATTCCCCTGTTGATTGTGTTAAGTTAATCAACACAAGGTCATTCCCCTGTTGATTTGTGTTAAGTTAATCAACACAAGGTCATTCCCCTGTTGATTTGTGTTAAGTTAATCAACACAAGGTCATTCCCCTGTTGATTGTGTTAAGTTAATCCACACAAGGTCATTCCCCTGTTGATTGTGTTAAGTTAATCCACACAAGGTCATTCCCCTGTTGATTGTGTTAAGTTAATCCACACAAGGTCATTCCCCTGTTGATTGTGTTAAGTTAATCCACACAAGGTCATTCCCCTGTTGATCGTGTTAAGTTAATCCACACAAGTTCATTCCCCTGTTGATTGTGTTAAGTTAATCCACATAAGATCATTCCCCTGTTGATTGTGTTAAGTTAATCCACACAAGGTCATTCCCCTGTTGATTGTGTTAAGTTAATCCACACAAGATCATTCCCCTGTTGATTGTGTTAAGTTAATCCACATAAGTTCATTCCCCTGTTGATTGTGTTAAGTTAATCCACACAAGATCATTCCCCTGTTGATTGTGTTAAGTTAATCCACATAAGTTCATTCCCCTGTTGATTGTGTTAAGTTAATCCACACAAGATCATTCCCCTGTTGATTGTGTTAAGTTAATCCACACAAGATCATTCCCCTGTTGATTGTGTTAAGTTAATCCACATAAGTTCATTCCCCTGTTGATTGTGTTAAGTTAATCCACACAAGGTCATTCCCCTGTTGATTGTGTTAAGTTAATCCACACAAGATCATTCCCCTGTTGATTGTGTTAAGTTAATCCACATAAGTTCATTCCCCTGTTGATTGTGTTAAGTTAATCCACACAAGGTCATTCCCCTGTTGATTGTGTTAAGTTAATCCACACAAGATCATTCCCCTGTTGATTGTGTTAAGTTAATCCACACAAGGTCATTCCCCTGTTGATTGTGTTAAGTTAATCCACACAAGATCATTCCCCTGTTGATTGTGTTAAGTTAATCCACATAAGTTCATTCCCCTGTTGATTGTGTTAAGTTAATCAACACAAGGTCATTCCCCTGTTGATTTGTGTTAAGTTAATCAACACAAGGTCATTCCCCTGTTGATTTGTGTTAAGTTAATCCACACAAGATCATTCCCCTGTTGATTGTGTTAAGTTAATCCACACAAGGTCATTCCCCTGTTGATTGTGTTAAGTTAATCCACACAAGATCATTCCCCTGTTGATTGTGTTAAGTTAATCCACACAAGATCATTCCCCTGTTGATTGTGTTAAGTTAATCCACATAAGTTCATTCCCCTGTTGATTGTGTTAAGTTAATCCACATAAGTTCATTCCCCTGTTGATTGTGTTAAGTTAATCCACACAAGGTCATTCCCCTGTTGATTGTGTTAAGTTAATCCACACAAGATCATTCCCCTGTTGATTGTGTTAAGTTAATCCACACAAGATCATTCCCCTGTTGATTGTGTTAAGTTAATCCACACAAGTTCATTCCCCTGTTGATTGTGTTAAGTTAATCCACACAAGGTCATTCCCCTGTTGATTGTGTTAAGTTAATCCACACAAGATCATTCCCCTGTTGATTGTGTTAAGTTAATCCACATAAGTTCATTCCCCTGTTGATTGTGTTAAGTTAATCCACATAAGTTCATTCCCATGTTGATTGTGTTAAGTTAATCCACACAAGATCATTCCCCTGTTGATTGTGTTAAGTTAATCCACATAAGTTCATTCCCCTGTTGATTGTGTTAAGTTAATCCACATAAGTTCATTCCCCTGTTGATTGTGTTAAGTTAATCCACATAAGTTCATTCCCCTGTTGATTGTGTTAAGTTAATCCACACAAGATCATTCCCCTGTTGATTGTGTTAAGTTAATCCACATAAGTTCATTCCCCTGTTGATTGTGTTAAGTTAATCCACATAAGTTCATTCCACCATTGAATAATGTTAAATTTATCCTCATAGGATCATTACCTTGCTGAACAATAATAACTTTATCCTTTCAAGCTAATTGCCTTGATTGATTATCTGTTACTTGACATAAGTATTGCCTTGACTGATCATGCTACTTGACACAAGCGTATGAATTGGAGTTAGTTACAGCTTCTTACATACAAAGGGTTGTATTGTAATCTGGATAGGATGTTGCACTGGATTTCATACATGAAACACTGCTTAATTCAGCCACCATATAAACAGCAGACAGCAAAAACATGACTAAATCAGATTGTTTGAATATAACATGACAAAGTCAGATTGTTTGAATATAACATGACAAAGTCAGATTGTTTGAATATAACATGACAAAGTCAGGTTGTTTGAATAAAACATGACAAAGTCAGGTTGTTTGAATAAAACATGACAAAGTCAGATTGTTTGAATATAACATGACAAAGTCAGATTGTTTGAATAAAACATGACAAAGTCAGATTGTTTGAATATAACATGACAAAGTCAGATTGTTTGAATATAACATGACAAAGTCAGATTGTTTGAATAAAACATGACAAAGTCAGAGTGTTTGAATATAACATGACAAAGTCAGATTGTTTGAATAAAACATGACAAAGTCAGATTGTTTGAATAAAACATGACAAAGTCAGATTGTTTGAATATAACATGACAAAGTCAGATTGTTTGAATAAAACATGACAAAGTCAGAGTGTTTGAATATAACATGACAAAGTCAGGTTGTTTGAATATAACATGACAAAGTCAGAGTGTTTGAATATAACATGACAAAGTCAGGTTGTTTGAATATAACATGACAAAGTCAGGTTGTTTGAATATAACATGACAAAGTCAGAGTGTTTGAATATAACATGACAAAGTCAGGTTGTTTGAATATAACATGACAAAGTCAGAGTGTTTGAATATAACATGACAAAGTCAGATTGTTTGAATATAACATGACAAAGTCAGAGTGTTTGAATATAACATGACAAAGTCAGAGTGTTTGAATATAACATGACAAAGTCAGGTTGTTTGAATATAACATGACAAAGTCAGATTGTTTGAATATAACTGTTTTATGTTGACTGCCCTGACATTTGGAATTATTTTTATATTTCTTTGGGTATAAAAAGTTTATATTTTCCAGAAGTTGACAGCTTTTCATTGTAAATCTGGTTAGAAGTAGAAGAGTTTTCCCCCTTTGAATATTCTATTGAAGCCTAATGTTGCAACAAGAGTTGTTTCCCTTTAAATGTAGGATTTTTAGGCTAAACGCTTAATTATTTCAAAAAAGTGTTTTTCAAAGAAAATTCTATTAGACTGTTTCAGTTGTTGATGATCTTACAATGGCTTCTTCATTCAGTCAATAAAAAGTTCTTTTCATAAAAGAAACATTAAAATTTCAAGGATGAATTTATGTGCATGGATAAAATGAAAAAAACCTAGAACACACGAATGAACTTACAATTTAAAAAATAAACTTATTTCAATCTCTACGTGATCTTGAGTTAAAGAAAAATTAGCTTCCTAAATTGGACTGTCTACATGATGGTTTTTAGATTGTAACCTTCATTGAAGCCTTCGTGAATCACCAGTAATTAGGAAACTTGCAGTAGCTCATATACCAACCAACTAACTTAATGAAGCTGGTTCAGCGTTCCCGAATCTCATCATTCCTGTTTTTGCTGTATTAATATTGAATTCAGTTCTTAAATCAGGAGTTTACATTTTCTATTCATAGTTGACAGTATATTGTTAAATGTTTAAATTCTTGCCAAATTGCTCCTAATATTCTTACACATTTTTTTTCGTAGACTTTAACAAACACGATAACTTTGTTAAATATCAAATTATATACCCAAAGGCTGGTATACTTATATTATGTAATTTGTTGAGATTGTTTACAGCTTGACCGCCAGACACTAAATATGTTGGTTTAGCTCATGATGGCTAGCTGATATCAATATATCGCTGTAATCAGTTATTTTGTATGAAAGAGTCTTGTCCATTGGGTATTAGCACACAAAATCAATGATTTCATGGTAAACGTGAGGGTATTGTGTTTCTGTATTTGTACCTGCTGGATGTCTGTAGCAGTGAAATGGACTACACTATAATACCATTTATGGACTGACCGTTGATGATATAAGATATTACTTATAACAGGTAGGTTATGATACTGTTTAACTGAGGTTTTTCAACTGAATCCCATCACTGATAAGTCAGTGGATGGAATGTTGTGAGATTTACCTTTTTAGGTCATCTGACCTGAGGTGTCATGATGACCTTTAGTCGTTGTGATTGTCTGCTGTGCGCCGTCCACCGTCTGCTGTACGTAAACTTTTTGACATTTTAAACTTCTTTTAAAGTTCCACGAGTGGGATTGAGCTTCAACTTGCATGAAGCTTTACTGTCAAAAAATAGGTAACACTTGTTCTAGTTACCTTCTCCACACAAAAAATACCATCTGTATCACGGAAAACAACTTCGTAGTAAGATTTCATTCAAAGTAGAAAAAATAGCCTGTCTCCCTGCTGAAAGTTTTTTTATAGTCAGATGACCATTAAGGCCTGTTGGCCTCTTGTTTTTGTTTTTGTTTTAATCAATATGACATGGTGTCAAAAAAAGCCCCAGCTTATTGTCTATTTTTCTAGTAACTCAGATGATTTGTGAATCAATAGGAATTTTTCTTCTATTATGTCGCACTTTTTTAGTAAGTTTCTGCCCTTATTTCATAAAACGTTGTTGTTGGTTGATGGCTTTGTGAGTTTGTTCTGTAAAATTG